ACAGGCGGCATCCGTGTTGCAAGCTAGGTTAGGTTGCTGCAACACGCTAGGTTAGTTTCTCACTCGGATGCCCCGGGGCCGCCTTGTTTTGGTTAGGTGCTGTTCACCCCTTGCCCTCCCTGTTCCCGGCTCCGGACTGTCTGCGGGTTTCGGCATCGGGGCGGCGTTTAGTTGGGGCTCGAGACTCGGGGGGGGGGGGGGGGAGTTTCGGGGGCTGCCCCGTTCGGGTTGGGGACGGAGGTTTTCGAGCCTGTTCCTCCTGCCAAGGCTTCTGGGTCTTATCAGCGGCCCTTTCGTGCTGCCTTTCCCATGGACTCTTCCTTTTCTTTAAGGGCGGAGAGCTTGGAGGACGGCTCTGCCCCGGGGCCTCTGTTGCGGGTTCCCGGGGCTGTGGGGGATGCCTGCTAGCAGTTCTGAGGCAGTTAGCCCCTACTTGGGTTTTCTGCTTCTGAGCTGAGTTTTTTGCCCATCTAGTCTGCTTGCTTCCTACTTTTGCTGGCGTGTTTTCATATCTTTTGCATCAGTCACAGCCCTCTGTTCTGGTGGCCATATTCTTCTGCCGGTTTCCTGGCGTGGCCACCAGGGCAACGTTGCGGTTTGTTTACATGCGCCTGGGTGTGCGAGTGAGCATCTCGGGTGAGTTTTTCACTTTTTCAGGGGTTTTATTCTTCTGTTGTCGTTTCTTTGATTTTCTGGTGTTTTCTGTCCATTTCCTGTTCCTCTGGGAACGTTTGAGTGCTGATTTTACACCGGGTTTTGTGCCTTCTTCGCCTGGCCGGCATGGTGCTCTCTGCCCACTGGTCGGCGGCTTGTAATTTTATTTTCACGTGTATGTGAGCACATATGCATGTGCATACGCACGTGTGTGTAACATAGCTTGTGTGTATGTGTATATATATGTGTAGGTGTATATACATAATATGTATGTATATATGTGTATGTATACTTTTTATTTCGGAAGGGGCTCTGTTCCCTTCTCTGTTGATGGGGCGCTGGGGGAGCAGCTTGCTCTGCTGACTCTCGCATGGTCCCACAGTTAGTGGGTGATTTTGGTTGTCTTCCGGCCTCTGGTGGTGACGGAGGATGGCTTCTTTCCCTTTGGGGGGTTCAGGGCTGGCGGGGTGGGTTCCTTCCCCTGCACTTCGTTCTCATCTTCGTGGGTGCATTGGACGTGGTTGATCTGCCCTGTCCTTCTGGGGTTCCCGTCTGCTCTATGCAGACATGGGCCTGTCGAATCTGCAGTTCTTCTGGACTTTTTTAGTCTGCGCCCTGGATTCTATGCTGTCATCGGAGGACAGTTGTCTCCTGTCCGGCTTCTGTTGGGGCCGGGTGCCTGGATGGTGGCCCTGGACCTCCAGGTCAATTCTTGGCATGTTTCTCTCCAGTTTTCCGGGACTAGCACAGTTGGTGGTGGGGCTTCAGGCTTACCGCTTTTGTTGCCTTCCTTATTTTGTAATTGGCACTTGGTGTATTTACGCATCTCTACCAGATTTTGGTGCCCTGTCTGAGTCTGCTGGGGATTCGGTGTCTGGCCTACCTCGACGACTGGCTGGTGTGGGCTCTCAGTCGGTCCACTTGTCTGCTCGTCGGGGGTGTGGTTCTTTCCAGATCGCCAGGTTTGGTTTCCTGGTGATCTGGAGGTCGTTCCATTTGTTTCCGTCCCGGGTTCGGATCTGGCTGGGTCTTGTTTAGGGCTCTTGGGCCACTCCTTGCCTTTCCCTCCAGAAGTGTTGCTGCGGCTGTGGTCCCGCCTTCGGCTGTTCATGAGGGGGTCCCAGCTTGCTCGGCGGTTGCTCGAGTAGTTGTGCGGGAGTCTAAACTTCGATGTGCTGGTCTCCCCGCAGGGTCGGGTTTGGCTTTGGCGTCTGTTTGGTTCCTTCGGAGACTCCCCTTCGCCTCTTGCAATCGTTGGGTTTGTTCCTCCGTGGATCTTGTGTTGGTGCTGCATCACCAGCTTCCTCTTTGGGGTTTTCGGGGTTCCGTGCCTTGGCACCTACCCGAGCCTTCACTCGATGTGTTCACGGACGGGTCATCTCTCGGCTATGCTTTGTGACCAGTGCTCACCAGGTCAGCCAGGGATTGTAGGGTCTGTCCATCCATCAGGCTAACAGCACGGTTCGGGAGTTCGTGGCTGTCTGGTTTGCGCTTTGGAGGGTTTGGGGTCACTCGGTGCTCTGCCATTCAGCCCCATTCGGACTGTTCTCTGGCGGTTCTTTGTGGAACCACAGGGTTTCTCTTAGGTGCAGGCAATGAGTCACGATAGCGTGGCTAAAGTATGTTGACCAGACCACACACTAGAAGGTGAAGGGACGACGACGTTTTGGTCCGTCCTGGACCATTCTCAAGTCGATTGTCGATTTCTCTTAGGTGTTTGTCCTTTGGGGTTGGCCCTTAGAGGGGCTCGTTTGCTGGATTCTCGGGGTTTGGCTAACTGTGAGGTTCATGTCCGGGGTGTGTTTTGCATCCTGGCGGACAGCTGTCTTCGGTTCATTCCTCTGTTCGTGGATTGGCCAGTCGTTGCCGACTCGTTTCGTCGGTTCTGCTGAACGTATGGACTCCTGGCCATGGACGTCTTCGAGTCGGCATGGTCTAGGCGTCACCCATTTTATGTGACGCCCTTACCCGCCTGTGAGGCGTTCACGGTGGATGCTTTTCGGTAGGACTGGTCGAGGTGGGGGTACCTGTTCCTCTTCTCCCGGTCCAGCTGTTGCTTCATGTTCTGGCTTGATTGGAGCCCATTCCCACGAGAGTAGTCCTTATGGTCCCTTGGTGGCCGGCCCAGCTTCTTTTCAGACGCTGCTTGATAGGTGTCCGAACCCGGGGCGTTTTTCCCGCGGCTCCGCCTCTTTCGGCAGGTTGGACCGGTCCTGTACGTGACTGGTTTGGCCTTCTCCTCGGCTCTTCGTGTCTGGTATTTTGATGTGGGTATCACCATCTCTGTGGTGATTAGGTGGCTTTGTTGATGATGTCCCACCTGTGAGCTTCGTCTCGGCGACAGTATAATGTTCCTGGTGTTTCTATGCACTTTTTTCTTGCTCTTCGTAGGTTGTCTTCTCTTTCGCATCGGGTTGTCTTGTCCTTTCTTGGTTTTTCAGGACTAGTTTTGATGTTTCTTACTGTCGCTTCATTTGGTGCGGCGCTGGCGGAGCCGCTCCGGCTTGCGTTCAGGGTGGACGTCACATCTGCCCTGTTTCATACGCTTTCTCGTGTTTTGTTTCACCTCCGGCCTGCTCATGCGTCACCTGAGCTGTCCTGGTCCTTGATCAGGATGCTTTCTTATCTTCTCTTCAGTTTGTGGTAACCCCTTTGGTTCAGGTTTCTGCTCTTTGGTACTGGAGGTAGGTTTGTATGTTTGCAGCCTTTCGCCGTCCTGGCAACGGTCGAGATGGCTGCTTTCTGGAGGGGTTCTTGGGTTATTGATGCTTGATTGGTTCGGCCGGGGGTGCGTCCTGTATTGCCTGGTTGCGTTTTTTGCCATTACCTGCGTACCATGTCTGGGGATGCGCTTTGGGTTGATCTGGTTCCCCTCGTTCCCTGTTCAGGACTCGGGTCTCCCAGGTCATCCGCAGAGTTTTTAAGTCTTCCAGCCTGCGGTCTGTCCTTGTGCCCGTGCTGTTTGGCCGTTTGCAGCTTTTGCTGCTGTGTTGGTGACATCTAGGGCTCATTTCGGGTGCAGGGATTTAAGGGTTGCACAGGTTTTTGGCCACCCATTCTTTATGCGCGTCTGCTCCTGTGCGTTCTTGTTGCCTTGGGTCGCAGATTGCAGCCTGTTGTCTCGGCTTCGTGTTGCGGAGTTTGTGGCGGCCACCTCCCGGGTCAGCCCTTTCTTTTCCTTCTCTTTGGATATGAAGCTCCAGGGAGCCGTAGGGGCTCCCCACAGAAAACCAGCATTGAATGTAATGAAACGCCACTTTCTGGGTGAGCCCCGGAGGCTCCCTGGCAACCCTCCCTCCCACCAGTTGGCATTTTTTTTTGCGTTGGTTGAAGCTTAGCTTCCGAACTGGTGCTAGGCAGCCGGTGCATTAGGTCCGGGCTTCCCCCTCCACTCTCGAGGGGGGGGGGGCTGAGCGGATGATCGGCGAGGCAGTAAAGTGTGATGTTTGCTTGTTTGCTTGTTTCCTTGGGATTGTAGGGAGTTTCTACCTCTCTGTTAGGTTTCTTGTTTTAGTTTTTACCATGTGGGGTTTGTTTTGTTATGCCTACCTTTCTGGGTGCAATCCCCGGTCGATGGCAGATATGGAAAACCCCAACCACAAGGGTGTTTTCCAGGGCCATTGCTCTCTGAAACCTCTCTGAAGGGGCCAGGTTCTGGTGCTGGTCCCTGGTAGGTCTGAACTCCTTAGCTAATGTCCTGGTCTAATATAACATACATTAGCCCGATAAGCTCCAGGGAGCCTCCGGGGGCTCACCCAGAAAATGGCGTTTCATTACATTCAATGCTGGTTTTTTGTTTGGGGAGTTCTGTACAACAGCTTGGCTTTCTGTAGCAATTTTGTTTAACCAGATAGGGTTTGTTTTGGGGCACCTAGCTTTCTAGGTGCATGACCGGTCAATGGTCGACATAGAATGCTTGCAACCACACGGGGGGTTTATATAGGCCATTGCTCCTCGTACCCCTCTGAGGGGGCCAGGTTCCAGCTCGTGGTCCCCGGTAGGCCTAGAACTCCATTCCCTTTGACTGATGCCAGGGTCTAGTACATTTATATCAGCCTGGATAGCTCCAGGGAGGCTCTGGGTCTCACCCAGAAAATAGAATTTCATTACAGTCCCAGTAATATAATTCCATTCCATTCCCATACATACAATTTGGGCCCAGATGGAAGAAAAACTTCACAAATATATTTTTATTTTTTTACTTCAGATTTTCATATGGTGGTATGAATTAAAGTCATTTGTTTTTAGAGTTATATTGAGCAAGAGAGTAAGTTATGATTGTCAACCTATGCACTCACCCTCACTTAGCAATACCCTGATGCATGCCATGCAATTGCACGTTGCAGCCCTGGATCGAGACACTTACAAGCATGTTCGCAAGAGCATCATCGACATGGTGCTGGCAACAGACATGACCAAACACTTCGAGCACTTAAGCAAGTTTATCAACATGTCGGGCAGCAGCAAGACGCCAGTCAAGGATGATGACACAGCATCACTCGATGTGAGCATCCCCGCCTGTGATGTAATTTTATGCCTATTGTCAACATGCATTAGTGGGATATATATATCCTACAGCATCTCTACATAGTGTATTTTTTCTAATCATCATCATCTAACCATTCGTTGCATCTCGCCATCACTTTTGCCTATGCCTTGCCATCATCAACACCCCACCATCACTAGTATATTATCAATATGTTTCCATCATCCATTCTTTGTTATCACATCTCACTACCACTTTATCATCATGAATACCTCATCAATCATTAGCACATAATAGTTCAGTATTTCACTCCTGCCAGCACCATCAGCAACAAAGCCATTTCATCAGCACAAATATTTATTTAATATAATTCTTCTGAAGATTACAAAAAATTTATAGGATAGGCTACTACTCATTATATTAACTATATTGTATCTGAATACCTCATATCTAATGGTACTCTCCATCCGACAAAGTATTTAAGAGGCTTCATGTATGAATAAATGTTCTTATAACTGAATTACCATGGTGAGTGAGAGCTCTATTGATTTCTGGGTTAACCTGCAGTATATGCACATGCCTCTTGCAGCAGCCTGTCATCTCAAATAGTCCTTTGTATTTTTATGGAAAATTCCCCAACAAACAAAACACAGCATACTATGAATCTTATTAGCTCATGATCAGCCAAGTTTTCTATGCACAAGATGATAGGTTAGATTAGGTTTGTACATCTTAGTGCACCATTTTCTGAGTTGTGCTATCACACTGATGCTATCAGTGCTATCACACTGATTAAGTGCTATAATACTAGGTGTCATCAGTTGCAGAGCTCTTATTGGCCTACCAGGGACCATGCACTAGTACCTAGCCCCCCCTCCCCCCCCCCTCAGAAAGGCAAAAGGTGCAATGGTCTGTGAACACTTTATATTTAGAGTTTATCATCTTTGCCACCACCAGGGAAGCACCCAGAAAGATAGGGGAATCAAAACAAACTACAGCATGATTTAATAATGAGACCAAATCCTCAACTTGCCAAAAAGAACTCCCAACGAAGAAAACAAACAAACCAAAATTTTGTGAAACCAACCCCCACCAGTTTGCTTTGACCCCCCTACTCGCCTAGGAAAGGAGGGAGGGGGCACCCTGATGTAGACCTCTTCATGTCGGCATGGTCTCGGCATCTGCCTTTTCTGCGGTGCTGTTTTCCGGCTGCGAAGCCCTAGTGGTGAACGCTTAATTTGAGTCCTGGTGCGACTGGAGTCTTCCAGGAAGTGAGTGATTCTGGCTCCATGGTAGCCAGCCCAGCCTGGGTTTTAGGCACTGCTTGCTCGGTGTCCAAATTCAGGTATGTTTCTGCGGCTCTGCCTCTTTCCAAAAATCAGGCAAGTGACGTATGTCGCTGGTTCGTTCTTCGCTGCTTTCCACATTTGGACTTTTTGAAGCAGATTTATTGCCATTTGTATGGTGACCAGGTGGCTAGTTTGATGGCGTTCCACCTGCGGTCTTCTTCTCAGTGACAGTATGAGATTTCTTGGCAGTCTTTTTGCCATTTTATCTCCCTTCATTGTTGTTTTTCCATATCTGACCGGGTTGTTTTGTCCTTTCTTTCCTGGTTGTTCTTTAAAAATCAAATTAAAATGTTTATTAAGGTTAGAGTACATACATAGAAGATGAGTTTCAAACATAATGTTGGATTTATAGATAGAGCTAGTACATACAATACCTAAAGCCACTAATACGCACAGTGTTTCAGGCAAGTCACGTCTTTAGTTGGCGTCTTTTGCCAATTACTGTTGCTGCTTATTGTGCAGCAATAGAAGAGCCGCTTCTGTTCGGGGTTGACAGTGTTCCACCTTGATTCGCAAGCTTTCTCCCGCTTTCGTTCACCTCCGACCAGCTCATGCACTCCCTGAGCCTACATGGTCTTAGAGCTGGGTTTGTTTCTTTTCTTTCTACTGTTCGTTTTACAATGGCCCCTTTGATCCGAGATTCCTTTCAAAGGGTTTGTTTTTGCTTGCCTTGGCCTCTGGTTGCTTTGTGGGGAAGCTTCATGCTCTCCTCTGTTGCTGGGGGTTTTGTTTTTCAGGTTTAGGTGATTGTTTTGTAAGGTTGCAGCCGGCTCCTCCTTTTCTGGTGAAAATTGAGTCGGCAGACATCTGAAGAGGTCCTTTAACCCCTGCACCGTGCCAGCCGACATATTACCACAAGGAGGCAAGTTCCCAGGACTTGACAGGAGTAAAAAAAAAAACAGAGTTGTATGTAATGAAACACCATTTTCTGGGTGGCACCATGGCAACAGTCAATCGAAGGAGTTCTAGGTGTACCGAGGACCAGAGCCAGAACCTGGGGCCCCCCCCTCAAGAGAGGCACATCCAAAAGCCCCATGCTCGAATGTCAGCCCAGGACATATTCCCCACAACAGCAGCCAAAGCCGCGAACTTACGAATGTCATGGGCACAGGGATAGACAGCAAGCTGGCTGGACCGAATAATCCTGTGGACAACCTGGGAGATGCTCACCCTGGAACAGGGTGCAGGGAACAGGGAAGAAGGGAAATCGGGTCCACCCAAAGTGTGTCCCCTTCCACAGAGGCTGTGGCTCACAGATAACGGCGAAGAGCCGCAACTGGATATAAAACATGATGCACCCCTGGCCGAACCAACCAAGCATCAACAACCCAAGGACCCCTTTGGAAATCAACAGATTCATTTTTCACCAGAAAAGGAGGAGAAGGCTGCAAACGAAAGAAACGACCACCAGGACCGAAAGAGCAGAAACCCCTTTGCCAGAGGAGAGCATGAAGCTCCCCGACCCAACCCCCAGAGGCCAATGCCAACAAGAAAAAAGCCGTAGAAAATCAGTCCTGAACTGAGGGGGCCACCACAAACTGAGGAGAAGAGAGAAAAGAGAGCACCCAGTCCAACGACCAGGACAGCTCAGGTGGTGCATGAGCAGGCCGGAGGTGAAAAAACGCTTGAGGCAGCTTGCGGAATAGAGCAGAAGTGACATCCACCCCGAAAGCAAGCTGCAGCGGCTCTGCTAGCACCGCACGATACGAGGCGACAGTATTTGGTATAAGATGACGGTCCAGAAACCACCAAGAGAGAAAGAACAAAACAACCCGATCAGAAATCGAAGACAACCTATGTAGAGACAAAAAATGCTGAAAGGACCGCCAGAAAATTTCATACTGCTGTCTAGACGAAACTCGCGGGTGGGACACCATCAAAGAAGCCATCTGATCACCATACAAGTGGTGATACACCCGCATCAAAAATATCAGATGCGAAGAGTGGAGGAGAAGATTGAACCAGCCACGTACCGGACCGGACCGATCTGCTGAAAGAGGCAGAGCTGTGGGAAGACTCTCAGGTTCGGACATCGAGCAAGAAGCTCCTGAAACCAGGGCTGGGCCGGCCACCATGGAGCCAACAGGACTACTCTCCCCTGGTAAGTCTCCAACCGAGCCAGGATCGGGAGCAACAACCGGACAGGTGGGAAGAGGTACAGGTAACTCCACCTCGACCAGTCCAGCCGAAAGGCATCGATCCTGACGGCTTGGCAGTCTGGGAAGGGTGCCACATAAACTGGAAGATGCCTCGACCACGCCAATGCGAAGAGGTCCACGTCTTGGCACCCACACGTCCGGCAGAGCCAACTGAACGAGTCGGCGTAGACTGTCCATTCCATAGAAAGGGGAATGAACCCAGACAGGCCATCCATCAGGACGTTTGACATCCCTTGAACACGAACCGCTAGGAGAGCCAAACCCCGAGAACTCAGCAGACAAGTCACCCAAAGCGACCAGCCCCAAAGAACCAAGGACCACATTGAACCCCTGCAGTTCAAGCAATAAATCACTGACCAAGGACCGCATTGAACCCCTGCAGTTCAAGCAATAAATCACTGGGGAGCAATTCGAATGGAGCCAGATCATTGCTTCTCAACCGAGCCGAATCCTCTGAAGCAAATACCACACTGCCACAATCTCCCACGCCGTTCTGTGAGCTCGACGGAAGGACGGACCCCAATGACCTTGGCCAGCCTGGTGAGCACTTGTCACAGAACCCCAGCCGAGAGACGAGGCATCCATGAACACATCAAGAGGGGGCTCGGGAGGCACCACAGCACAGAATCCCGAAAATCTCGCAGAGGAAGCTGGCGATACAGCAGCCACGCAAGGCTCCCAGGATCTGAACCCATCGATCGTGAGGGCGGTGGAAGGGACGACCCCGCAGAAACCAGAACATCCGCCGAAGCCAGATCCGACCCGTTGGATAGACCATCACAGCAAAGTTCAGGCTCCCACACAGCTGCTCGAACAACTGACATGTGTCCGTGGTGCCCTCCAAAAACAGTCGGAGGCGGGACCGCAGCCGTAACAGCGTTGCAAGAGGGAGAGACAAGGAAGCGGTCCGAGAGTCCCACACAAGACCCGGCCAAGTTCGAACCTGAGAGGGAACCAAATGGGACCTCCTCCAGTTCACCAAGAACCCGAACCCGGCGAGCTGGGAAAGAACTAAATCTCTGGCGAGCAGACACGCGGACTGGCTGGGAGAACACACCAGCCAGTCGTCGAGGTAAACCAGAACCCTTACCCCTAACAGACGCAATTGGGCCACCACGACCCGGGTAAGGCGTGTGAACACTCGAGGTGCCAGATTCAAGTCAAATTGAAGGCAACGGAAGCGGTAAGCTTGTCGCCCCACGACAAAACCGAGCCAGTTACTGAACCCCAGATGAATCGGGACGTGTCAATACACGTCTCGGGGGTCCAGAGACACCATCTAGGCACCCGGCGCCAAAAGTAGCCAGACCTGAGACAGAGTCGTCATCCAAAAGGAGGGGCAAAAGACCCAGGGATTCAGAGGAGACAAATCCAGTAACAATCGTAGATCCACAGTCCCATTTCGGAACTGAAAACAGGCGGGAAACCCACCTGAGGGATGTTGTCGTTTCGACCACACCCAAATGAACCCACTCCAGGATGACCTGACAGAGCACAGGAGAAGAGGCCT